CCTCCCCCCAAAACTCGGCTGTATCTAGAAGAGCCTTGTATGTGCAGACCTGGAGGCCACTTATAGGGAAAGCAGGATGGGGTACCTCTGACCGAGGAGCCACTGCAGGCAGGGCCCAAAGGCTCATCCTGCAAGGAGCCATTCTCCACTAGCCAGCGACACCGCCTTGCAGCACAGGCCCAGAACCGGGCAGGGACGGGGAAGTGCCGAGAGACACAATCTGGCTCCGAGTCAAAGCCCTCCTTCCACACAGACTCTCCAAGAACGAAGGCGGCTGCTGACTGGCACGCTGGCTCCGCGTCGCTGGAGGGGGCTCCGCCGAGGCCCGGCTGCCATCTGGAAGTGATTTGGCCCAGAGATTCCTGAGTGGGGTGGGAGGGTGGAATGGCCAGCCACCCGTCCAGCTCTCGGAAACAAAGCTGTTGTGAATGGGCCCGGAGGCAGCCGTCACACAGCCAGGGTCACCTCCTTCCAAGGAGGGGCACGCTCTGGGCAGTCCGTAACCCCAGGAGAGCAAACAGCACCAGCCACGCAAGCCCGTTCGGCGTGCACCCCCTCAGCGTGACTCCTGAGAGGGTTCTTGGATGGTACCTGCCGTATTTAACAAACACTCACAGAGCACTTGCCATGTGCCACCAAATTGACCTAAGCACTTCTTTTAAGTGTTAACGTGTTTAATTTTTAATAGAGATAGGTGCTGTCCCCATCTTAGCGATAAGAAAACCCAGCCCTGGCCAGTGTGGCTCAGTGGACAGATCGTCGGCCTGAACTCCAAAGGGCCTGGGGCTCAGATTCCCAGTCAGGGGCACGTACCTGGGTTGTAGGTTCTATGCCCCTCCTTGGTTAGGGAGCATGCCAGAGGCAACCAATCGATGTGTCTCTCTCACATCAATGTTTCTTTCTCTCTCTTCCCTCCCCCTCCCGCTCTCCCTTCCACTTTCTCTAAAAATCAATGGGAAAAATATCATGTGTGAGGATGGAAGAAAAGAAAGAAAGAAAGAAAGAAAGAGAGAGAGAGAGAGAGAGAGAGAGAGAGAGAGAGAGAGAGAGAGAGAGAGAGAGAGAGAGGGGGGGAAAGAAAGACAAAACAAAAGCAAGGCAAAGAAGTGTCTTAATTGCTACTTAGCAGTAAGTGGGATTGGAACAAAGAATTATTGCTCTTAACAAGAGCCACCAGGGCACAGAGGACACTCATGTGTTACTTGTTGCAAATGGCCCCAAACTTGTTAATTCTGACAAAGCATGCTATTGTGCTAGTTACTTTTTAAACATTCCCCGGCAGGAACTATATTGCCTAAACGGCGCACTGGCATCTTGCTAGGTAATTCACAAGAGTAGGATTCAGGCTTAGTTGTAGTTATTTTGGTGGGAGTGGGACAAAAGGAAGGAAAAGGGCTAAGTGGCCCGGTGGCCCACCCCCCTGGGAACACGCACCCCACCTGCTTTGGGGCACTGGCCTGGCACAGGCCCTTTAAGTAAACATTAGAGTCATACCGCATCCTCTAAAAAGGCAAAAATTCATTTTTTTTTTTTCTGAGGAATCAAACCAAAACACACCACCCAAACTTCTAGGCAGCCTTGATTTGTCATTCCTGGGCTGGGAGACCCCTTTTTCTCCAAGTTGGCTGGCCTGCCCAATGTCAGAAAGGTTTTTTGGAAAAACAAGTAAATAAAACTGCCAGCTCTGGCAGGCGGCTAGAATTAAATATGCTGAGGCCTCACTATGAACTGCACAGGATATAACGAGAAAATGAAGAAAATCTTTAACTTTTGGATGGAGCCTCGGATGGGCCCGCCTCGCCATGAACTGCAGTTGTGAGTAAACAGCCAGGGCTAGCTTTCGGTGAATTCTGAGGAGAAAAGCCAGAGTCCTCTGGTGGCTGTTGACCTTCCGTGATCTCAGAGCTGGGTGCCTGTACTCTAATGACTACCAGCATCAGACGGCCGAGAGCATACGAAACTCTGTGTTCATTCAAACACTCCTTCCCTCATCCCGAGGATGGAGTAAGGCACCATCCACTGGGTACTTCCCATCCCCCGGCCCCACCCCTGAAAAACATCAGAGAAAACAGAGCAGCCAGTCTCCAAACAAGTTCACCTGGAGACAGGATGGAAGCTGCAAACTGATTCTGCTCACCTCCAGACGCGACTCTGACCTCATGGATCCTTTGTCATAGGTCAGAGGACTAGTCAGTCAGTCCTCTCACTCATCTAAGGCCTTGGGATCCTCAAGGCCGGAGGCTACCCCAACACCCCAGACTTAACAGCCCTGCTGCAGGGGCTCTCTGGGCAGGGGAGAGGGGCCGTATTTGCTCATTTCTGACCCTGGAAGGCAGGTCACTGAAGGCTCAATTCAACAACGGGGCAGACCTGGATCCCAGTCACCATTTACTTAGCAGGCGACCTCTGCAACTTACTTCACTTCTGTCTCCTCACCTTTAACCAGAGATAACCATACTAACAGGTCACAGTTATAACAGTAACCATCTCCTAAGCACCTGGTCAGGACTGGGGCGAGCCCGTAAGCCTCCCATGACTTGCTGAAGCAGCTATTATACAGACAAGGAAACCACTTGAGAATTCAAGGTGGCGATCAATGAGGTAATTAACAGAACACCTTCCCATGCCCCCAAATCGGAGCTGGTGTCAATCAATGTCAGCAAGGCAGCAGCCACACAGTTAAGCAGTAAATGCATAGCTCGTGAGCTCGGTGTGGCTTTTTCCTTCAGGGCTCTTACCCAGGCCTGGCCCAGGAGCAAAAGCAAGAGGCCTCGGGCTTTACCCCCACAGGAGTCCTGGCACCTGACATTCCTTCCCTCTCTCCAGAGGCTGGAAAACCTGTTTGTTTCTAATCTTTCTGGGAGAGCAACGAAGCAGCCAATGACGGGATTCATAAATGTGGTAGCACCCTTTGACCCAGGCATGCTACTTTGGGGAATGTGATCTAAGAAATCATTTAAAAGGAGAAAATAAAACAATGTAACTTGTGGGAAGAAGCTGCCCACAGCCCTAGGCCCACAACCAGGGAAGGGGAGGCTAACCCTGGAATGCCAGCAGAATGGAAGGCCCGATGGCCTGGTGGGTTCAGGAATGCAAATCGAGAAGATGGAGTAGAAAACTAGGGGCTAGAAAACGTCTAAAAAGAGGCCCCAAGCTCGGGGCAATGATGGAAGCCAGACTGGAAGCAGCTGCAACCTCTGCAAACAGTGGGTAAGTTAGGCAGCCCAGGATTTTCTGGGGCTGTGGTTTGGGTTTTTCATTTGTTTTGTGTGGGTTTCTTTTTCTTTTTCTTTTTTAAAGAGATTTCATGTCATGTTTGGATACTCCTGGTTTATGTTAAGTTTCTTTGTTCGGTTAATTAAATAAATACACATTTAAAACAAAGAAGGAGGGATCCCCGTCGAGCCCAGCCAGGCCTTGAGATTCCTCAGAGGGGTCGCGGTTTCTGAGAAGGAAAGAATTCCAGGAGAAGGCCGCGGTTCTCTCCCCCGGTCACAGGCAGATGCGAGAGCGTGCCACCCAGCCTCCCTCTGCACAGAAGCCACCCTCACCGTGAGGCTGGCAGGGCGGTGGCAGCTGCCTGGGCCGGGGAAGCAGCCCTACCTGCCAGGACAGGTGTGGGGGAGGGGGAGGGGAGAAGGGAGGAGGCTCAGCCTAGAGGGAACCCCCTTGGCTGGAGAAAGTCCCAGCAGCCACACCCACACTTTCTTCCTGTCATGGGGGGTCACCAGAAGGCCTGGTTTCCTCAGGAAGAGACCTAGACCCAGGCCTGGGCCTGGGCCAGCACCTCTCCGGCAAGACGCTCACTTGGCAGAACGTACACATACAATGTAAATGCACACACACACACACACACACACACACATATATGCACACACGCTCCCTCTTCGCACACACATGTTCCCTATATGCACATGTGTGACAGCCCTCCCCTCGGCAGCCTGTGTCCCTCCTGGAAGTCCTCCCCTAGCCCAGGTCCTGGTGGGGACCTCACCCTCATTCTTCCTCCCCAGCTCAGGGGGTGAGGGACAAACACCAACTCCCTGCCCCCTCTCAGGAAGACCCCGGTGTGGGGAGGGCGGGGAGAGGAAAGCAAAGTCTCCTTTCATTGTCGCCACTTCCTTCAATTCTCCGCTGGACCCTCACGCTTCCACGGCTTGGGCAAGCGATTTAATCCCCTGGACTCCCTTCGTCTGCAAAACGGACCTAACGCTCCAGCCCTCCAGCCTGCAGGCTGTGGAAGGACCGAGACAGCCAGAGGCTGTGGCCACAGCGCTCACCGGTTTGGGGTCCCTGCAGGGCGGCCGTTCCCATGACCACCACCCTCTCTGCATTGTAACCTCAGCCTCCAGAGCGGCCTCCTCCGGCGGCGCCGGCCAGAGCCGCCCTGGGAGCGAGAGAGCGAGCGAGGGCGACACACCCCCTGCGGCTCCCCTTCCCACCGCCAGGCCCACACCCATTCGGAGGCGGCGGGGGAGGGCACCGGGTCCCGGGCTCCACCTGGGCGGGGCGGCCGGGGCGCGGAGAACGGTGCCTCCCCGTCCGGCCTTAGCGCCAACGCCCATTCGCACCGGCCTGGGCGCAGCGGGGCGGACGCTGGGGGAGCAGCGGACGAGGGTCTCTGAACCCCCGGGGACAGCGGACCAGGGGTTTCCAGCCCCCCAAATCCCGGCAGGGGCATCCTAGGTGCAGAGACATGCCACAGCCCCACCGCTCCCCGTGAGCGGCCCCAACTCACATCCTCACCCCGCGGCTCTCCAGGGACCCCCCGCCAGGGCGCACGGCGGGGAGCGCTGCGGGGAGCTCTCATACGAGGTCCCAGCCCAGGGGGCAGCACCATGGGGGGCGGGGGAGCCTAGGTCTCCTGTGTCCCCACAACCCCGGGGACGACGCCCCCGGCCGAGAGAGGGAGCGGGTGCGCGGCAGGAAGCCTCCGCCGCCCGCAGGGGCGCGCGCGGGGTCCGCCCGCCGCCGGAGCCCGGCCGGGACGGGGCACTCACCGATGGACACGAGCTTGATGTTCTCCCGGTCCAGGAACTCGAGCGCCACGGACACGTTCTCCAGCTGCATCTGGCGGAAGGTGGGCCGCTGGTGGTACTTGCGGTACATGCGCTTCTGGCTGAGCACCTCGAGCAGCGCGATGAGCCGCAGCCCGTCGCTCAGGTCCGTCTGCAGGTTCCCGATGCGCTTGTTCACGCACTTGAGGTGCTCGTTGCACCAGCGCGTGAACGTGTTCTGCTGGATCTTCTTCCACGGCGCGTCCTCCGCCAGGTCCTTCTCGGTGACCGGCATCCTGGCGGCGGCGGCGAGGGCGCGATGCGCGGCGGAGCAGCCGGGAACGGACTGGCGTCGGAAGGCCCAAGAGCCGAGGCGGCGAGAACCCAAGAGCGTGAGGGGCAGTCGGACTCGAACTCGCTCCTACAGTGGCCGCGGCCGGGGCTGCTCTGTGGCCGCCTGCCCTTGGCCGCGCGAGGCGGCTGGCCCCGCGCCTGCGCACTGCGTCGCCCCGCCCCGAAGCCCCGCCTCTTCCCAGCCCACCGGCGGGAGCTCCCGGGCCACGGTCGCCCCCTGCCGTCCCAGGTGGGCACTGCGCCCCGCGGCCTCTGAGGAGCCCTGCTCCTGTGGGAATGGGAGTCAGGATGGAGACCCCCAGATACTGAAGAACGTCACCGTCCCGGAATGAAGGGACGTGCAGAAGCAGGGAAGTGGAGAGAATGGTTGGGTCATGGGAGAGGGGGTTGCACCGGTAGGTTTTTTGTTTTAAAATATATATATATTTTATTGATTTTTTACAGAGAGGAAGAGAGAAGGACAGAGTGTCAGAAACATCGATGAGAGAGAAACACAGATCAGCTGCCCCTGCACATCCCCTACTGGGAATGTGCCCGCAACCCAAGGTACATGCCCTTGACCGGAATCGAACCTGGAACCTTTCAGTCCGCAGGCCGATGCTCCATCCACTGAGCCAAACCGGTTTCGCTGTAGGTTTTTTTATTGAGCTCCTGCTGTGTGGTAGGCACTGTAGAGCACCGGGAAGAAAAGACATTTATTATTCCTATCGATTAAACTCATGAATTACAATACATATTATTATTCATAGCATTTACTTAGTGCCCGGTCCTCAGTGCCTATGAACCGAAGGTAAATGAGACAAACATTCCTTCACCTTTAGTTCATAGACTAACGGGAGAGGAAAGTACGAATCACCTGTCACAAGCAGCTAGCTCAGTAGTAGTCATAGACATGAACAGTCATTTACCAGGTACTACGTGTTTCCTAAAGCTGTTGTAACAAATGACTAAAACTTTTGTCTTAAAAAAAAAATCACACACGTATTATCTTGCAGATCTGTAAGCTTAGATGTCTCTCCCAGGTCTCACTGAGCTAAAATCAAGGTATTGGCATTCTTTTCTGGAGGCCCCAGGGAAGAATCCATTTCCTTGTCTTTCCCAATTTCTAAAAGCTTCCTGCATTCCTTGGCTGTGACCTCTTCCTCCATTCTTCAAAACCAGCCCAGTCAGGCTGAGTCCTTCTCACGTTGTCACCTCTCTGGTTCTCCACAGAACATCTAACTCTCTTTGGGACCCTTGTGATGACATTGGGCCCCATTGGTTAATCCAGAATATTTTAAAAATCAGTGACTAGCACTATCAATCCCATCTGCAACCTTAATTCCCCTTGGCCAGGTAAGGTAATATTTATGGGTTCTGGATAATAGGATGTGAACATGTTTGGGGACCATTATTCTGCCGACCAACACCATGCACTGAGCACCTGCTCTGTGCTCAGGTTCTGTGCCAGGTGCTGGGAGATAGCGGAGACCCAGGCCAGAGCTTTGCTGTCAAGAGTGGTAGCTAGCTTTACGTCAGGACCTGCTCAGCCCCTGTACCAAGCAAGAGCTGTGCTAAGCTGTGTCTTTGCTATTGGCCCCATTTGACTAGAGTCAGCTGAGGTCAAGTGACTAGTTCAGGGCCCACAGCGCAAAAAGGACTTGAATTCAGGGAACCCCTCTACTCAAGAAGGGCTATCTAACTGGGCTGCAGGAGGGGAGTCAGGGCAGGCAGGCCTCCTGGGGGAAGAGGAGCTGGGCAGGGTAGAGGCAAGGCCTTCCAGCCCAGCAGTTTCCCAGGAGAAGCCAGCAGGTTTGTGGTTGTAGCAGGTCATTTGCATACACTGCTCAAGGGCTTTGTTCAGACCAATTGTCTCACTCCCTGGATAGGCTCAGAACTGCAGGGGGGAGAAAGCGTGTTACCCAGCCATAGCCCTAGCCCATTATAGGAATACTAGAGGCCCGGTGCATGAAATCTGTGCTCGGGTAGGGTCCCTAGGCCTGGCTGGCGACCAGGGATGATGATCGGGGCATTCGGTTTGCCCTTATTTAGATACCTAAATAAGTTCTGCATATAAATATCCAGAACAGCCCTAGCCAGTTTGGCTCAGTGGATAGAGCCTCGGCCTGCGGACAGAAGGGCCCTGGGTTCGATTCTGGTCAAGGGCACATGCCCAGGTTGTGGTCTCAATCCCCAGTAGGGGGACGTGCAGGACCCAATCAATGATCCTCTCTCATCATTGATGTTTCTATCTCTCCGTTCCAATCCACTTCACTCTGATCAGTGACTTCAGAGACAAGGAGAGGAAGCAAACAAGTCTTCAGGTGGCTCTTCATCAATATTTGATAGAAGATGAGAACTAAACTATTCAGGGTAAGCATTTCTGCAGGGAGCATTTTACCCAACACATTCCAGTTTTGTGTGACAAGACCTTCATTTAACAAATGCCTGATCCCTGTTTCCCAAATTTTATCCTCGCCATCGATCTCTTGGTAGAACTGTCCAGAGTGGGAACGTGTAAAGAGTGAAAAGCACAGTCTTTGGATGTGAATTCTGTGACTTTGAAAAAATAACCTCTGCCAGCCTCCGTTTTCTCATCTAGTAATGGAGATAACCCCCCTCCCGGACTATGCAACCGGAGTGCCTGGCACACACTCAGTGCTCAACCAAGATTGCTGGAAACCAAGCAAAAGTAACAGACTTCACAACCAGCCCCTGACAACTCTGGAATTGACTGCATTTTCCCGGAATCAGTCCTCTGTGAGAAGCCCTGGCTCCCTCCACATCTTTTACCCAGAGAGTGACACCAGTCTGCCACAGCCCCGAGAGGTTGTGGTGAGAATACGCTGACCAAGAAAACATAGGTAGAGCAGTAATCGCTACATGTCTGCATGGACCTGACAAGACAGGCGCAGATGCACAGACGCATCCCAAGGAAGAGACTAGCTGAACCTGGAGATCTGGGCGGAAGAGGAAGCACTGTGAGCCTACTCCTCAAAGCTGCACCGATTGCCCAATCAGCCCCCCTGCGTGGGGTTGGGAAGCGTCCTTCTAATCAGGCAGGTGTGCTTAGATAATAGCTCCCTGGATCCCACCTCCGTGCCTTTGCTCAGGCAGTGCCCTCTGCCAAGAACGCTCTCCTCCCTGCCCTCCAACTTGGGAAAATCATGTCCATCCTTTAGTCTCCTCACTCTCACAGCTTGTTCCGTCACCATGCTTGTTTTTTGCTGGTTTAGTTGCTGTTTTCTGTGGTCAGTGACTGATGGCAGAAAATGTCACCTCTGTCCCCTTGCAGAGTACAGTCTGGGGTTTAAGACCTAATAAGGCCAGCACTCTCCAATATAAATATAATGAGAGGCACGTTGTCATTTTAAAGTTTCTAATAAAAAGTAAATTAAAAAAAAAACAACTTAAATATATTTTAACCAACAATACGACAACCATACCCTGGCCGGCTTGGCTCAGTAGATGGAGCATCAGCCTGCGGACTGAAGGGTCCCAGGTTTGATTCCGGCCAAAGGCACAGGCCTGGGTTGCAGGCTCAATCCCCAGTGGGGGGCGTGCAGGAGGCAACTGATCAATGATTCTCTCTCATTGGTGTTTCAACTCTCTATCCCTCCCCCTTCCTCTCTGTAAAAAATCAATAAGATATATATTTTTAAAAAATAATAAGCAAGAGTGTTTCTGGCAAAATAAGTTGGTCACCCTGCTGTCAATGAAAACTGCACCAGATGTCAGACTGGACCTGGGTTCGGCAACCTCGGGCCATAAGTTCTGGCTGAGAAAGAATTCAGAGCCAAAACTCAAACTTGAAGAGAATGTTTATTCAGAAAGTCACAGAAGCAGGAGAAGTGAGCAGCAGAAGAAATGGGGTCAGGAAACAAATTAAGAGGCAGAAGAAGGGCCTTTGGAACTTAGGAGACAGGTAAAGCTAACTCTCCTAGGAGGCACAGTGGGAGGAAGAAAGGGAGAGGAAAGGCTTGCATGTGCTCTGGGAGAGAGAGGAGCTGGGTCCTCTTTTTGAAGGTACATCCAGGACTCAGGGGAGGATCCAGTAGAATATTCATCAGCTTTCCAGGTGTGTCCTTTTAGAGTTAAGATTTCTACTGATTGGTCGGCAGTCGTTAGTCAATGCAGCTGGTTCCATGTCAGCCATGGCTTCGCTTGGCTGGTTTTGCCGCTTTTCTGGGCCCGGAGCTGAAACACAGGAGCCGAAGCCTTGATGTTATCCCAGGGTTACTGTGTAAGGGAGTGGCCATGCAAAGGCCTGCAGGGGAGTCACTTGAGGCCACTCTCCCACCCCGTGTTCCTCCTCCAGAGGGGATTTACTGCATGACTAGTGACATGCCAGGAGAGGAAAGGTCAGGGGTCAAACCAAAAATGCTAAGGGAAGAAAGGTTACCCTGAGGATGAGCTCCTTGTTTTCCCAGTTTTGCCTGTTAGGCATCCAAAGCTTTCTGCCCCGAGGACCCTCTGCACCTGGCCCATTGTCCTTGCTCAGGTCTATCTAACTGCCTACCACAACCCTACCCAATATATCCCAAAAGTTATAACTTCCATATCCAATCAATATTTTATATAGATCACAATTCAGACTGGGCATATTGCCAAGTGTTCAATAGTTGCCTTTGGCAACTGCTGGCTCTCAAATTGGACAGTGCAGGATGGAGATATGCTTGATATTGAAATAAACCAATTCACAATTTGAAGACCATTATGCTCTCACCTGATCTTGGGAACCTCTTCCTTAGATGTGAAACCTACCTCCATGTTAGGTCTGATCAAATGATCAAATCTATTACCCTCCCCCTCCTCCTTGGAAACTGACCTTTAGATCACTTCGCAACTGCTACTCCCCTGGCCCGAGACCACATTCCATTTGTTAAGACCATAACTCCCCTCAGGACTCTCCCAGGATCTGACCTGCCCAGAGAATTCCCCACCGGAAAAGCCCACATGGGG